TGCATTTTCTTCTTGGTTCGGTTTGTTTTCACGTCAACATTTCAAAGCGTACCAAAATGTGTTTATGCAAGTCACATGTGAGTAAAATTGTCCTCTTATTGGCCAGAGTTCCCCTGTTCCTCTGCATCATCCATCAAGATGGATCGACAAGTTCGCTCCGCAAGCTTATTGTGGCTTTATCTGTAGTTGTCGTGACACCCACAAAAACTTAGACGAATGTAGCCTTGATTCCCTCTCTGACTGATCATTTATATACATAATTTATATACATAAATTATATTACATTTTATTTAAGATGAATCACAGAATCAGACACTGCTGCTTTTTATATAACACATTTCCCTTTATGAATTATGGTGTCGCTTGGTTCGTTAGTCTGTTGCTCCAACTGATTCAGAGTTCGTTTTCAATCGGGCCTAGACCACCTCGTTCAGGCTATCTCAGAGCGATCGTTTTGGTGCGGATCTGAGTACGATTGCCATGTTCATACATGCCAAAACGAACTGAAGTAAGGGAGAAAATGCACTAGGTTCCGAAACAGACGGTTTCAAACAAAACTAGCCATGTGTGAAAATGCCCTTAAGGCCCCGGCATTGTCCACCAAGCCCTGTAGAAAGACATTATCTTTGCTGGGCGAAGCTTACGTGGCTGCAAGGCTGGAGCATGTCTGCACACAATGGCGATACTGCATACCAGGCTGACCTGCTTAGGGATCTGGATGAAGGTGAGGGTGTGAAAGAGTTACACTGGGCCACAGATTTGTTTCTCCGGGCCACCAGGGAAATTGCCCATGCCATCGACATATCGACATATGACAGCTATAGTGGCTACGGAGAGACATTTGTGGTTGTCTGGTATATAGAAAAGGACCTTCCTGTTGGATGCCCCACTTTCCCCTCCTGGCCTCTTCGACGACGCAGTAAACACTGTCGGTTTCAAGAGGCAAAGAAACAGGCAAAGAAACATTTCAAAGGTTTATCTCTCGCCGAAACCAGGTCCTAGAGGGTGCTGCTATGGAGCAGCCCCAGGCCAGTACAGAACCCCAGGCCTCTCTCAGGCAGCAACAGAAGCAGAATGTCATTTCTCAAGTCCCCCCCTCAGCCCATTCAACAAGACGTATGGCTGCCTCTAAGGCCGTGTGTCCACCAAATACTTTTTAGCTAGTTAAGAACGCGGCGAAAGAAGGCGCTCTGCTGAAAACGGCTAGCTGTAGGCACTTCAGATCGCTTCGGCAGCGCAGCATTTTTTCAGTTGGGCTGGTCCATTTATCAGATTCTACAGCCTGGATTTGGATTCCACGCCAGGATCTCAGATGCTTATGCCCTAAGCTTGTGCTCACCAAGATTCCCTCTGGGACAGGCATTTGTCACTATGGTATAGTGGGTATGAACGTTCCCATAGCGTCAACATTCTGATGTAGCATTGATTTCCCTCAAAAGGGAATGTCTCAGTTACAACTGTAACTCTGGTTCCCTGAGAAGGGAATGAGACACTGTGTCACCTTACCATACTTCCGGCATGGCTGTGAGCGACTCACTTCAGCTCAACAAAAGCTAATGATGTTTGGTCTGGGTATCCGTTATAGCTTCCGCGGTACGCCGTCATGCGTCATGGGATGATGTTTCGCCAATGAGATTGGAGTGATTCCACACGTGCTTCAGAAGCAATCATGCTGAAGTGGTCCCATAGCGTCATCAACATTCTGATGCAGCATCCCTTTTCAGGGAACCAGGGTTACAGTACTAACCAAGACGTTTACTAGGTTTTAAAATACAGATTTTCTCTTCAAGTCTCTCTTCTACAGTGAAGGCTCCCAAGTTCAAGTGTAATTCACTGTTCTTTTCTCTTGCTTGTACTCAACTGTTTCTCAGTGCACCAAGACTTGTGGTGTTGGTGTGCGAATGAGAGATGTGAAGTGTTACCAGGGAAGAGAGCTTGTTCGTGGATGTGACTCTTTGACCAAACCTGTTAACAAACAGACCTGTGCACTCCAGCCCTGCCCCACCGAACCTCCAGGTGTGCCTTAAAGAAACAGTTCATGCTAAATCTCAACATTCACTCACCCTCACATTGTTCTAAATCTTTATGCTGCTATTTTTTCCAGTTAAATATATACAGTATATACTGTAATATATATATATATATATATATATATATATATATAAATGCATCACAGTTTCCACAAAAATATTAAGCAGCAATTTCAACTTTGATAATAATAATATCAAAGCACCAGGCACCAAATCAGAATATTAGAATGATTTCTGAAGGATCACTGAAGACATTGAGTAATGATTCAGTAATGATGCTGAAAAAACAGCTTTGACATTACAGGAATAAATTACATTTTGAAATATAATAAAATAGAATATTAATATATAACATTTTAATATATATGAAATATATATAATATATAGTTATATATAACTATACACACACACACACACACATATATATATATAGCTATTATATGGCATCAATGTGCCGTTTTTGTTCCATATTATTGCAATTCATTATATTTATAATGTTATGCAGGTTTGGAATGACATGGAGGTGATAAATGTCCTTAAGTCCTTAAATATGCACTTTAATAAAAAAATATGCACTTTGAAACATTGCCTTATGACTGTAATATTACATATTCTAATGAAAAAAAAAAATCCTACAGGTTTAAAGAAATCATAAATAACATGAATTGTAACTGCTTCAATGCTTCCTCAGATGAAAACTGCCAGGATCGTCCCACCACCAACTGCTCGCTGGCTCTGAAGGTGAATTTGTGCAGTCACTGGTATTACAGCAAGGCCTGTTGCCATTCTTGCCGTAATCTTCGAGCTTCCTAGCTAGACTCCAATGCTCAGGTTTTCATCTGTTCATGTCATCTGCCTTGTGCTTGTTTGAGGATTGCAGCAAGGGGAGTTTGAATCAGTATTTGGTTATATATTAAACTAGCTCCACAAAAACTGCATTACTGCCAGTATTACAAAATGATACCTACTTCATGACAATGTCCTGTGTTTGTGGGATACCGTAAGGAAACATTAAATTATTTGATTATTGCTCAGAGGATTATATTGCATGTCATAAAAGTATTTATTATTCGTCAGGTTTTATTGGACATTTATTATCTGGCAGCTGAAGATGGCTGATTTTAGTACTGTATATCCAAACGTGCTTACCCTCAAGCCACTGCTGGCTCCAACACTCTACTGTTTACTTTTATCCAGTTTAACTATTGCTAGACCTAGGCTTATGTTAATTTATTGGTTACAGCAGTAGCTTTATTGGGTTCTCTGATATGTTTGTGTCCGAATAATTCATTTTGTATCATTCGATTTGAATTGACAATGGATTTAGCAGAACTTGACATACCCAAGTCATTTTACCCTTGTCATTGAGTGAGTCCTGACACTTGAACGTACTATAGTTGAACATGTATCTGATTCATATATTGTTTCATTAAGACACAATAAACCTCATATATTGTATACTGCCTTACCTCAAGTACAAAAGACAATCAAATGTAAGTCATTTGATTTTCTTATAGAAAAACAGTTGTGTACCTCTCAGAATATTAAATAATAAATATTATACTCCAAAGAAAATGCTGTGGGTTTTTGTTTTTGTTAAATAATTTACATTAATGAGTGCTATTTCAGTATCATTATAGTTTTTGTTTATACTTTGAATTATATATATTTTTTATATTTCTGTTTTGTCATTTATATACATTTATATAGTTGTGTTACATTTTAGTTTTTAGTTTTAGTTTACTTAGTTTTGGTTATTTTAGTACTTCAGCTTAAACTAAATGGAAAAATGTAATAATATATATATTATTTGGGTGATGTTTATTTTATTTCAAGTAATGATTTTTAGTTAACATTACCCCTGTGTAAATTACTTCTTATATAAGTTGATCAAAATTACAAAAAATTTCAGCAGTTTTAGAGAGTCAAAGTCAAACAGCAGTAATTTTCATTATGATTTATCTGCAAAAATTGCCATCATACACAAACAGACACACACTTTGTCTCATTTAATGTTTTTAATTTACCAAAGTATAGACCCTTTTTTCCTGCACATAAGCTGTTGCCACCTGCTGGCCAGCAATAAGCATGTGCAGTTAAATATGTTCATTTATGACATCATAAGAGCTTATTAAATTGTCACAAAACAACTGTTAATATTAACAAATCTCACATTTATTAACAAACGAAAAGGTAAAATACCATAACAGATCATAATTCTGGTGACTTTTGGATCAAAATCAATGCAAAGTGAGTGACACTACACACAAAGATGAGAATGCAGACAATTATAAAATCAGTCAATTAAATAGATTACACAAACAGACACACAAATTCACGATCCTACATGTAAAACTATGACCGCAGGTGATATTATCATTTCACAACTTGTACATCCGCACCATTTTCAGTTTAATCATACCAACCATATATCTTTTAATCATATATTCAGTACAGCAGTAAATATCTGTGATAGACAAATTAATGTGAAACAATATCAAAGATATCAAAATTTTACTCTCCAGTTCTCATGCCAATAAAAAGCCCTATTAATAAGTTGCATATGAAGAGTGGAACGTATGAATAATAAAGCAAATGCTTTTATTACACAGTCTAAGAAAAGTCTGTAAAAATAGGACATAATGTACCGTGTTAATAGGAGGGAATGTTCTATATTATTTTTCACAGGTGTTTTACCCGCATTTTGAATTGCGCATTGCATTGTATTGTGTTTTACACTTTAAGAAAAAAAAAGTTCAGTGGGGTTCTGTATCCCTAGGATTCTTGAGTCAATGTAAAGAACCCGTTATATCAAAAAAGGTTCTTGCCAAACAGAACCCTTTAATAGAACCTTTTCTTTTAGGAGTTAAAGGAAATGTCAGTAAACTTAACAATAATCGTTTTTTCTACGGATTTTTGTTTTCTTTACAGTGCACATGACTATCCTGATAAATAAATAAATAAATAAATAAATAAGTAGATGTATTGGATCTAATGAAATAAAATGGAGCACTGGGTACAGAAAGCAGCATAACAAATGTGAACCACACAATATTTGAGGTGAATACGAGGTGCTACACATCCGTGCTGATGCTGTGATGAGTCAGCACTTCCTGCATGGTGACCGAGCGGATGAGGTTGAGTTTGTGGAAGCTGGGCGTATCCATTGGCAGGTCTAATTCCTCCTGCTGTAGAGTCCTGTAGCTGACCCTGCCACCTCCATTGCGCAGACCCTCCTGTGGGCTCACGTACAGCGGCAGATACCCCGAGCAGGAGGGGCAGAAAGTGTACGAGCGGGGCGGCTTGTAGGGCATGCGCGGGGTGTACTGAGGATAGCTGACTGATCCATTGGGCTCAAAAGGCTCTGCAGTCATTAGCAGCTGATTGGAGGATGCGTATTCGGGGAAATGTCGAAGACTCAGTGGACTCTCGGGTGGACTCGGTTGGCGCGGTGGACTTGTCGATGACTTGGCGACGTCAGCCTCCTCCTCCCCCTCCTCCGACTCTTCTCTTCTACAGCAGTAATACTAATGGGCAGAGTGAGACGTCACACTCAGTACGTAAGATAGGAGAGAAGAGGGAGTTACTATTGAGACAAGCAGTAGAGGAGGATTACCTGCAGCCTACAGTAACACAAAACTGAGACAATAGTTAACAAGATGACTGCAGCTAAAATTCCACCTGTGATGACCACTGTGCCGGCTGTCATTCGAAATCCTCTCCATCAACAAACTGGGCTACCATAAAGACAAAAAAAAGAGACACAAAGAGAGGTTTTTTTTTATGAGAGTTTCTGAGTAGGGCTGCCTTGCTTATTTTAAAGACTTACATACTTACAGTACAAATACTGGATAAGCTACTGGGTTTGCTTATATAGGATGGTTTACTGACTTGGATTTTTTTTTTATTTTTTTTTTATTTTTTTTACGGCTGAAATACATACCTTTTAAAAGTTTGGGGTCAGTATGAATTTTTTTTTTTTAAAGAAAATAATACTTTTATTTAGCAAAAGATTTCTATTTTAAATAAATGATGGGGGAAAAGTCGGTTTCCACAAAAATAGTAAGCAGGCACAACTGTTTTCAACATTGATAATAATACGAAATGTTTCTTTAGCAGCAAATAAGCATATTAGAATGATTTCTGAAGGATCATGTGACACTGAAAACTAGAGTAATGATGCTAAAAATCGACATTAAAGGGATAAATTATATTTAAAAAATATATATTTTATTTTAAATGTATTATATATTAAATATATAATAAATTTTAAATTGTAATACTATTTCACAATATTGCTGTTATTACTGTATTTTTGATCAAATAAATTTTGCCTTGGTGAGCAGAAGATACTTTTTTCAAAAATATTTTAAAAAATTGACCAACCCCAAAATGTTATATATATATATTTATTTGCTAATATTATTTTAACAGAAAATTATAATCTTACAATATGTGCTCAAATATCAGCACATCTGTCTATAACTACCATGAACCTAAAACACAACTACTCTCTAGCTATTTGTTGAAATTACATGTACATCTGATGCCTATTTCATGCTCTTTGATTATGAATTCAGTAATTATGAAAAAATATCCAAACACGTGCTACAGCAGTGGAAAAATAAACGGATCAATGATGCATTAAATTAATTTTCCAAACACATTTGCACAATTTGCAGGATGTAGATATGTAACAGTCCAAAGACATTTACAAAGCTCAGGTTATTCAGTCATAATTAGACCACGCATTAGTCAGTCGGTGTTGTTTACTGTTACAAATAATCCTGTCTCTGCCCCTGTCTATGTAAAATGCAAATGAAGGTACAACACACGATGTATAAAGTAGACTACGTTAGGAATATTTAACTTTTACTGTAACATTAAGGCGAAAATCTTTTCCTCGGGTCTGACAACAAATAGAGCTAGGCTAATTTTAATAACACCCTAATACAGTCATATACAATTCAGACTTAACAGATGAAATATAAATTAGTAACAACTTAATCCAAATTACAATAATCTATGAACTCAATTCATTTATCAATTTCAAAGTAGGCTATCAAATGTGAACTATATCATGTAAATTAATATAATCTCTTGATTTTCTGACCGATATTTTTCTGTGTCGATAATCATATGAGCCATCAATAATAAGAATATTATTATTAACATACTAATTTTTACATTTTACATTACATTACAAATACAACTTAAACTGCATTTACTCAGAAGATGTATTGTATACTCACATTATGGTATCTACAGAACATATGGCACTTGTCCAACGCATCCGGCGAATTTACCCACAAACTACCACAAAAATCGCTTTTACGAGGTCACATGTCCAGACGGAATAAACTTTCTTTATAAATAGATATGAAAAAATATCACTGAACATGTAGTCGATGACTTTATGAGCATAGAGAGCTGTGAGAAGAGCGTCCGCTGGAGTCACGTCCCACATCTCAGTGTGTGTGTGTCAACCTCTCCTGCTGATCACACGATTATTCACTATAGAGTGAAGCGCAGTTCGCGATTCCACTGATATTGCCTTAAAAGGATGTCTTTTGTATGGTAAATATAGCTTGCAACATACTTTAAATATGAATTTGGACTTTTCTGTAGCTGCAGACTGGTTTGTTTAATAAGTAAACAAGATATAGGCTACTCAAGATATCCTTTTGAAATTTATGCTTGGGCCTATATTACTTTATTCTGATGCCTTAAGATGATCTAGTTTTAACAGAGAATGTGTAGTAAACAATGGGATATCTTACATGCTCTATAGAGTGTTATTCTTGTGATTCTAGCAAATTGCTCCCTCAAGTTGCAGATGCAAAGTGTGAAAAATGTAGATTACAGTCAGTTAGGCTAATGGTCGAACTTTAGATTAGGGTCAAATCCTTACTATTAACTATGAATTTAGCCAAAATAAACTCATAATTAGTTAGTAAGGTTGTTAAGTTTAGGTAAGGGATGTATAATATGGTCATGCAGAATAAGGCATTAAAATGTGCTTTATAAGTAGCCTACTAATAAACAGTCAAAATCCTAATATGCATGAGCTTGTTAATAGTGAGAATTGGACACTAAACTAAAGTGTTACCGGTTAATTCATTTTAAATTTTTAAGTTGCAAGTGACCTAATTATTTGGCAAAATGTGCAGTTCTCGTATTCCCCTTCCTTTCTGTCAAACACACACTCACACTCTCAAACATTCACTCTGACTTTTAGTCCCACTTTAAACTCTTTCCTGCCGCTGACTTACCGTTCCTCCTGTTGGACCGCTTTGAGTGCTGCTAAGAGGAGATAGTTGGAGAGTGAAGAAAACCATATTTTAGTATATGAATTATTAAACCTTCAAATATTAAAGGAGGCTGAGATTCCAGTGTATTGTATGGACATGGTCATGATAAATTCATAAGTAAAGATGCAGTGTATAAGGAAAAGTTATTTTTCTCTTTTGCCTCTCTTCTTTTCCTGTGTCAAAAGCAGCTCTCAGAATTCCCACCGGAGCATCCGCGCCTTTCTATCCACTGGAATATTTGGTGAAATGTTGAACAAAACTGATTGCATGAATATACACAGAGTTTGTATAGACAAGTGTATGTAGAGAGACATAAATGATAGTGTATATTTTTGCATGACAAATATCAGTCTATGAAAAAAAAAAATTATGATATTGCAAATGAGACAAAAAATAATTAACAGATTGATAAGAAGGGTAATACATGTTAGAATGCTGGCACTGTGATTTTTGTCGCTGAACCCCATTCTGTAAGATTACAACAAAAGAAAGGTAACACTTTATTTTGGTCCCCTTTAGACATTCTGTTGAGTGTAAGTAAATTTGCACCTCTAAGCTAACTCTCATTAGAGTATTAGTAGACTGTCTGCTCAACATCTGCAAACACTTTATTTTGACGGCCCCCCCAACAGACATTCAACTGTCTATAAGTAACTTTGCTTGTCAAGTATTCCCTCTTAACACCTTATTCTACTAACCCATACCCCTACCCATAACAGTCTACTAATACTCAATTAATACTCTAATGAGAGTTAGTTGACATGTAGGTGCAATGTAACTTACAGTCAACACAATGTCTGAAAGGACCATCAAAATAAAGTGTAACCAAAAAAACAAACAAAAACAAAACAATACTCCTTTAGTAAATGTAAATTCAGCATCAACAAATTAAGTTTTATTTGTGTAATAACAGACCAATGAGTTGTTAGTCTTGTCAGATATTTCAATGCACCACTAAATTAAATGAAATGCTTCATGTGTTCTACAGCATTGCTGGAAAAATACAGTTGGTAAAGGTGCAGAAGTAAAGTTGATTGATTGGTGGTTTAATTATCATCTTTATTGTAATTATTGTTTTTTTTGTATTAGATAAAGCAAAGCTTGGCCTATCACGATTGCCAACATGTCCAGTCCTGATGGTCGCTAGCCCTGTACTTTCAGTACCTTCCTATTCAGTTGTTCTTGCACCAGAGACTGTCCACAACATGGCCGCCACACCAGAGCCTCCAGCCATCATGGATGCCACGCCAGAATCTTCAGCCATCATGGGCTCCACATCAGTGTTCCCGGTCGTCATGAACGTTTCACATGAAGTAATTAAGGCAGTCCCTGGGCATTTGAGACTGGTTTCAAGTCTGGAGGACACACCGCTAATTTCGGTATGAGCAGCTGACATCTCTGCAGTGGTAAGTCTGGGGGTCTCAGAGGTGGTCCCACTGTCATTTGCACTCCCTGTTAAGGCAATGACCATTTTGTGTTTGGGCCACACTCTACTCTTTGTGTATGCCAGCCAGCAGCCATATCACCCTGTATCCCAAGACTGGTTGCCCACTGAAGCTAAAACAGGGTTGAACATGGTTAATACCTGGATGAAAGACCTCCTGGGAAAAACAGGTTGCTGCTGGAAGAGGTGTTAGTGAGCCAAGTAGGGGGTGCTGACCCTGTGGTCTGTGTGGGTCCTAATGCCAGTGTAGTGATCGGGACACTATATTGTCAAAGAGCACCGTCCTTCGGATGAGACGTTAAACCGAGGCCCTGACTCTCTGTGGTCACAAAAAATCACTCTGTCTCCTCTCCACCAATATGGCTGCCGTCGCATCATCAGGTGGATGCTGCACATTGGTGGTGGTTGAGGAGATTCCCCCTTCCATGTAAAGCGCTTTGAGTGCAGAGAAAAGCGCTAAATAAATGTAATGAATTATTTTATTTTTCTTATTTTTCTTATTTAGTCAATGAGCCCGCTCCAGCCCATGAGTCTGATCCAGAGCCCGCTCCAGCCCATGAGTCTGCTCCAGAGCCCGCTCCAGCCCATGAGTCTGCTACAGAGCCCGCTCCAGCCCTATGAGTCTGCTACAGAGCCCGCTCCAGCCCATGAGTCTGCTACAGAGCCCGCTCCAGCCCTATGAGTCTGATCCAGAGCCCGCTCCAGCCCATGAGTCTGCTACAGAGCCCGCTCCAGCCCATGAGTCTGCTACAGAGCCCGCTCCAGCCCATGAGTCTGCTACAGAGCCCGCTCCAGCCCATGAGTCTGATCCAGAGCCCGCTCCAGCCCATGAGTATGCTACAAAGCCCGCTCCAGTCCATGGGTCTGATCCAGAGCCCGCTCCAGCCCATTAGTCTGATGCAGAGCCCGCTCCAGTCCATGAGTCTGATCCAGAGCCTGCTCCAGCCCATGAGTCTGATCCAGAGCCCGCTCCAGCCCATGGGTCTGATGCAGAGCCCGCTCCAGTCCATGAGTCTGCTCCAGAGCCCGCTCCAGCCCATGAGTCTGCTACAGAGCCCGCTCCAGCCCATGAGTCTGATCCAGAGCCCGCTCCAGCCCATGAGTCTGCTACAGAGCCCGCACCAGCCTATGAGTCTGATCCAGAGCCCGCTCCAGCCCATGAGTCTGATCCAGACCCCACGAGTCTGATCCAGAGCCCGCCCCAGCCCATGGGTCTGCTCCAGAGCCCGCTCCAGCCCATGAGTCTGATCCAGAGCCCGCTCCAGCCCATGAGTCTGATCCAGACCCCACGAGTCTGATCCAGAACCCGCCCCAGCCCATGAGTCTGCTCCAGAGCCCGATCCAGCCAGAGCTCAGTCATGTGTCGCTTCTAGCCTTTGAACTCCCTGTCTGCCCTGATGCGACCACAGAGGTCGTCCCTGAGTTTCCTGTCTGCCCTAATACGACCATGAATGTCGTCCCAGAGTTTCTTGTCTTCCTTGAAACGACCACGGAGGTCCTCCCTGAGATTTCAGTCTGCTTCGAGGCCAATCCTCTCTGTTCTCTGTGTTTCAATTTCGCCTGATCCGCCATGGTGGTCTTCAGTTCCACCAGATCTGCCTTGGGAGCCTTTGGCTCCACCGTGGTTGTCATCGGCTCCGCCTGCTCCACCTTGGTGGTCCTCAACTACGCCTTGGTGAGCTTCAGCCTGCTGCCTGCTCTGCCATGGTGGTCTACGCTGTCGTGGGGATCTTCAATCCCGTCTACACTGTTGTGGTGGTCTTCTGCTTCGCTGTGGTGGTCTTCAGCCCTTGCTGCCCAGCCTGCGCCACCCTGGCCACATGTCCTGCCTGCTCTACCTTGGTTTCCTGCTCTTCCTAGGTCTTATGTTTCTCTTCCATTCCATGGACCTGACCCTCCACCCCGACACCTGGTCTGCCTCCGCTCCGCCTCCCTCCTGGACTTCTCTGACCACATTAGGAGCGTCTGGAAGCCGCTCCTTGGGAAGGGGGCTATGTCACAATCACCTGCTGGAGTGCCCTGGTTGTCCACCCCTCTGGTCCCCTCCTGTTCATTGCCATTCACACATGGACTACATTTCCCATAACTCACTGCCCGGACTCATCATCCGTGATTGCTGTCAACTGTGTCTCATTAACCTCATTAGCTCACCCTATATAAGCCTGGTCAACTCAGTCATTCATTGCGAAGTCTTGTAAGTGTCCATACTGCATTGTTGTGCGCTCCATTGATAATATGTTCCCTGGTTTTGACCCTGTTGCCCTGTTTCTTGGATTTACCCGGTCTGCCTGTGTTCTTGTCCTGGTATATGTTTGGATTCTTTGCCTGTGTTTCGACCTTTGCCTGTTTTTGCACTTTGATTGCGGATTACCCTTTCAATAAATACTGCGTTTGGATCCTCAATCTTCATGTCTCGGAGGAGTACATTACAAACATTTGATCTTCTGCAAGTCTCGTTATTCTCCTCGCAAGCTCTTTGCTCTTCTTCTTGCACCATTTCTCCCCATTTCTCTTACTCATTTTAACCTTCACTTGCTCTTTCATTTCCTCCATTGTCTATTCAGTACTTATGGAGAGTATGATTGCTATTGACAGTCTTGTTTCTTATCTTATTTCTAATCCTGTGATCAATCAATGAGCTCACATATACTGTATTCCACAGATTTGATTTACATACATTCCTAAAATACATTTTATTTTATTCTT